TATAGCAAGCTAGTAATCAAATTGAAAATAAAAGGCAACTAAATAGGCGTGAAATCTTAATAAAGAACTAGTATTCAAACTAGCATAGAAGACCAGCATTCATTATAGAACTAGGTATTCAAAAAAGACTGAAAAATCAGAACTAACAATATAGATTTTATTATGTAAATGGATTAGAAATAAGAAGAAAGCAGTCACTATTAAATCATGACATCACCATTAAATTAAAATACTACCAATCACTATTAGATTATGAAGTTACTATCATATTATACAGGAAATAGATGAAGCAATGCTATAAACGCAAAGGAGCTACCCATATGTAGGTTATAAAGTCATTATTAGAGTATAAATAGTAGCTTATGAAGTTGCCACTAGATTATGAAATTAGATTATGATATCACTATTATATTATAAAGTTACTATTATATTATGAAGTTACCAATAGACTATAAAGCTACCGTTATATTATGAAGTTATCATTATATTATGAAGTTACTGGTAGATTATGAAGTTACCATTATATTATGAAGCCATCAGTAAACTATGAAGTTGCCTTCATAATCTAAGCTAAGTCGCATGTGACTTCATAATATAATTATATTATGAAATCATATGCGACTAAATTATTTTAAATGAATAATTTTATTTATTATTCAAAAAAATGATATAATTTAAATTATTACAAATTGAATAATTTTTTATAATTTTATTAAAATAATATAATTTAGATTATTTCAATTGAATGATTTATTAATTTATTATTTGATTAAAATGATATATTTTAAATTATTTCAAATAAACAATTTTATCATTTTTTTGAAATGATATTTTTTATCATTCTAAATAAACAATCCTTTATTATTTTTTAGAATGATATTTTTATTATTTATTTAAAATGATAATTTGAATTATTTTAATTAAATGATATTTTTATCATTTTAATTAAATAATTTTTATTATTTTTTAAAAGGATATTTTTATTATTTTAAATGAATAATTTTTTTATCATTTTAATAAATAATTTTTTATCATTTTAGAATGATAATTTTAATTATTTTATTAAATGATATTTTATTATTTATTTAGAACAAATCATCTGAGTTTAAAACTTTAATTCAAATATTCTTTTGTATTTTGTTAAGTTAAAATTTGATAGTTTATTAGTACAAATTAATTTAAATATGATAAATTAGTATTATATAATTATGATTTTTTAAGTAAAAATTAGTATTTTATAATTTAATATTTTTTATTAAAATAATATTTAATATTTAAAAAGCTTGCTAAAATAAAGTTATTTATAAGAATAATTTATTGATATTATTATAATTAATCATTTTTTTGATTTATTTTAAATTTTATATTAATTAATATATTATTTGATAATTTATTGAATTTATTTTTGATATACATGTATATAGGAATATTTATATAAATAAACTTAATTTTTTTACTTTTTAAAAAATAATTTCAACTAAAACTTTATTTTTTACAATTTAATTTTACTTTTTTTAAATTTTCTCTTTTTTACATACTACTTAAATGAACAAAATATTCTAAAAATAAAAAGAATGTAAATTAAATTTTATTAAATTAATTAGTCAACTTTTAAAATAATAAACTGTTTTTTTACTTTTTATAATAAAAACAAACCTACAAAAAATACCTCTAATTATTAAAATCAGATGAAAATAAATTAAAACTTAAATTAAATTTTATTAATTAAACAGTTAACTTTTTAAATAATAAATAATTTTTTTTACTTTTTTATAATAAAAAAAATAAATTTTAAATGATTTAATATGAGAGGGTAAATTTTTATTTTTTATTATTTTATTTATTATTTTTTTATATTTTTTAGATGATTTCAGAAGATTTTAAAAAGAAAATGAAATATATAAGATCTTTGTAATAAAAAAGAAGGAAATGACTAGAAAAAATAAAAAATGAGTTAATATAAAACTCAACATATTTTGTAAAAATCAAATTTGAAATATAAAAATAAAATTGATTTTTTTTAGCTGTTTTTACCTTTTTATTATAAAGGTCACATTATTTTTTTTAATAATAGCAATATTACAATGACAAATATTTAAGACGATTTTAAGGATTTTATAAGGAAATGAATCATATTTTTATTATTATTATATTATTATATTATTATATTTTTTAATAGAAAATTAATTAGTAAGTTTTGATAATATTTTTATTATAATTTTGTGAATTTATATTAGATTTTTATTATTAATAAAATTTTAATATTTAATAAATTTAATTAAATCTTTTTATTTATTTTATATTATAAGTTTGAGTTTACTTTAATATAGTATTGAATTATACAAAGTTCAATATTAAATGCTTTATAATTTTAATATTTTTCTTTTTTTTTCATATATAAAAATTATATCTTTTGCTCTACAGAATAAAAATTTATTCACATTTAATAAATTTGCTTAATTTTAATTTTAACTTATTTTTTGGGGCATTTTTGTGATAATGCAGCAATTTAATACTATTAATATATTTATATATATTAGTGATAATCTAAAATTATATAGGATTTGTATTGATTAAACTTAATTTTATCTTTTTAATTCTTTTATATTTTTAATTATCCAAAAATAAATAAATACAGAATGTTTATTTTCAGGAGAATATAATACTTAAATGAAAGATTACAATTATATAAGCAAAATGTGAATCATTTTTCAAAGCTTTAAATGTAGTAATTAATAGGAATTATTATAATAAATTACTACCAAATCTTTATTAAAAAATACATCTATTTTTTAAAGCTTTAGATGAAGTATTAATAAGGATTATCATAATAAATTACTATTAATTTTTATTAAAAAATACACATCTTTAAAGTTTTTTTTTTTTTGTTAATATTTAAAAGTTTTTTTTTAGAATATATAATAAATACATATATAATTTTTTAGCCAATCAAAATTGAAAATATCAGAGGCTTATTAGGGATGTAAACGGATCGACCAGTTTGGTTTGGTCCGATTTTTATCGGTCTGAGGGTAGAATCGAACTGTAGACCGATTTGTAATCTAGACCGAAATTTAGACCGGAGTATATATATTAATATATTATAAAATCTTAAAAGATAAAATTAAAAATAAACCAAAAAAAAATCAAATTATACAAAAAAATGCGATCTATCTTATCTATTATCCGAAACTTTATTCCTATCAAGCTTTTGACCTGAAATAATTTCGCCTTATTATGCATCCCCCACAATTTAATACAATTTACGCGACACCATTTCTTTAAATTAGATAGATTGATCGTCCAAACCGGTCTAAAAATCGGTCTAAAAATCGACTCGGTTCAAATCGAACCGAAATCGCGATGTTTTTTTTTTAATTCTAAAACTTAAGTTATAACAAAATAAAAATATTACTCGCATGATTGATGTTTGTTACGAAAATACCGCAGATATGCAACGAAGATTAAAGCTTTAACTTTATTCTATGAGATATTCTGAAATAACTACAAGTAGGTCTTTATAATACCAAAACATACCTTAGTGGAATCCAGTTCTCTTCGTATAATTCTTTTTTTGAGTTGATCCTGTGTTTGCTGTTTGATAAAATTATTCGAGTCTTCTCTATAAAAGAATTCATGTTTTCCTTTAGAATGTGGATTTTCCCATTTCGTTTTCGGTGGCAAAAGTTTGCATATCCTCGATTATGTCCAACATGAGTCGACATGAATTTCACTTTTAAAAATATTATAATTTATCTTTGAATTACTTTATAGTTTTTTTTTTTTTTTGTTAAAAATATATAGTAAGAAAATTAAAGTTTCGATATGTAATGATTTACATAATTAAATTAATTAAAATTTTCGATGATACATATAGTTACACACAGTCATAACGATAATAATACTAAAAGGATTGACGGCAAATCATTTATATCTATTCATTTATCGAGGGTGTTTTTGAAAATGCAGAGTAATTCCAAAATTTTCAAAGACAGTACTTCTATCTTGCCTATTATTTATGAGGCAAATTTTACTATCGCATTAGGTAATTTGTCTTTGTAAATCAGTAAGGAATATTTGTGAAACTTTAACAAAAATGGTTACAATTTTTTTTTGTTTGAATACTAATTTATTTTATTTAAATAGAAATTGCCGAGGAATTTGAGCGTTGGTTGCATGACCACTTAAATGAAACGTTGAACAGTAAGTCCGGTTTTCGTGATGCGGAGGTATTTCAACGTGATCCTCAAAATGACGAAGGTGATCCTGGGGTCAAACGTCCAGACAGAGTTCACAAATATTTTACCGTGTTTTTTGAAGTAGATAATAAAGAAAGTATTGAGATATACTTGAGAGAAGAGGTAAGCAATTTTAATGGAAGTTCCATTCAATCGATTTTATGCAAATTAATTGAAATAAAATTTTTATTCTTAAAAGGCACCAAAAATTCAAGAAGCTTTACAGCAAAAATTTAATCAGAAAGACGCATTGGTTGTTTCTTCACGACGTATTCTTTACCCAGTCTCCCTTTGGGCTAAGAGACAAAGCTACGATAAGAAATAAATAAACTATCATGTAATAGGAAAATTTTTTTGGATACATTTATTTAATTTTATGAATTTATTATAATAAAAATTTCAGAAACACTAAAGATTAAAAAAGGAAATTATTTTAATTATTTTGATGGCCATTAAAAAAATATATATTAATTTATTATTACAGTAGACTATATATGCTAAAATGTAATTATTAATAATATCCAATATCATTATAAATAATTTTCTTGATATGTTCGCACCTTCCACCCATGCATTATATATACAGGTATGAACCTTTCCGTTAGTCCGTGAAAAAAAAAAAAAAAAAAAAAAAAAAAAAGACAACAAAATTGGTACATGAATAAAAATGGAGTAAGGTTTGGAACAATCATTTTAAAATATAATATATATAAAAAAAAAAAAAAAAAAAAAAAGTAAAGCATTACTATGAATTATTAAATATTAACGAATCTGTATGTTTTTCAACCATGCCATTTTGTTTGTTATTTCATCTTCAACTTTTGCTACTTGATTAGAATATAGTTTAGTCTTTTCATTCGATATCTCTACATCCTTTTTCATCCGATCAACTTCGCTTAATATCGAAGCGATAGATTTCGCTTGATTTTCTTTTAATTTGATTTGAATTGTTTCTAGATTTTCAATTTCGCCTTTACGTTCCTTTGTTAATGTTTCAATACGAGAACCAGCTTCCACCACAACTTTCTTTAATCCCTTAGAAGTTGAAACCATATCGCTACGAAGTTCTTGAAAATCTACCTTTATAGATTCCACATCTTTCATATACCGAGTTTTGAAGTTTTGCAATTCTTTGGATAACAATTGATACTGAAATTCTGCTTGTTCTCTACTTGCCGAGACAATGGCCAATTGTTTTTCCAATTCGGCAGCTTTTGATTCTGATTCTTGCAATGACTTGTTTGTCTTATCCCGATCTACTTTGAATTCTAATTTTTTCTTTTCATTTTCCTTTCCAGTCTCTTCCAATTCTTTTACTTGCCTTTCTTTACGCTCCAACATTCGTTTTAACGAATCGATTTCTAATTTTAAGGTTTGGTGTGATGCATAATGTTCAGCAGCTTGTCTATCCGCCCGCTCACGGGCGACTTTTGCAATGTGTATCGAAGTTTTAGCACCGGCAACTTCTTTCTTTAAATGTTCAATTTCATGTTGAAGATGACCAATAACTTTTCCGGTAGTGGATTCGTTACCCATGGTTCCGTTATTATATTGTTGAGGTCTATTACGGTTAAGTTTTTTTTGTACTGTGGCAAGTAAAGCGTTTTTCTCTGCTAAATCGTGACGAAGTGTATGCACCTGATGCTTCAGCGCTGTAAACTTTGTCGTATCTATATAGAATATGATAGATGATATGAAGATAAGGAAGAATCAAATATAAAAGTCAAATTTGGTCGAGTCGGAGGAATAAAAAGAAAAAAAAGGAAGAAGAATAATAATTTAGTATACAAGTTGTTTTAAGGAAATGACAAAGCTGAAACAACAAGTGCTGAATGGACAAAAACAAGGGGCGTAAGTCTCCCAATAAAAGAGTGACAAAAAGAAAAGGAACTTTACCCATCTCACCGGTCATTGAGGAAATTGCAAAGGAATTTACAGTGTTAATAGGATATGAACTGAGTTTTGTTTAAAAGCTAAGAAAGAAAGAAAGAATATTGTAGATAACAAAGCATACGCGTTTTCTTGAACTCTTTTACTAAAATCTATCAGAATTTCAGAAAAACGAGAATTATTCAAAGAATGTGTTTTTATAGGTTGATAAGGTGGGTAAAAAAATCAGAAAAGGCAAAAAATGAGTGGTAGCCTCCAAGGCCGTCTTTTATTAATTTAATATTTACGTATTTAAGTCTATCTTAATGGAGACACGACAGGAGTAATAATCCAATTCAGGGAGTAGAGAACCAACTAAAGTAATTTGTTATTACTTGTATTAACTTCCCAACAAAAATTACCCTCATCCCCTTCCTCATCGCAGTATGTACATTCAGCTGTGACATTAAACATTTTTAGCCCCTGAAATTCGCTTTTCAAAGATCTCCAACACGTGCTATGGTTTTCGTTTGAAGAATAAATAAAGTCCAGTGTAACCATCCTGTACATATACATATAAGTTACCATTTTTTTTCCAAAACATTACTCTCTTAATTTCCCAATTATTCATGGCTACCTTTGCTACTGACAAGGAAATAAATGCAAGCTTTCAAAGAGATGTGCACCTTGGTGTAAGCAGTTTTTCTGCTGTTGCTGGTCTGGAAGACCGAGATGTTGTACCCGCTACTGCAACGACTGAAATTTTTGGTCGTTTTCAAGCATTAAAGGTTGTTATTTACTCAAATGTTTTTAAAATGCTTTTTTTTTTTTGGTGTCGCGTATTTGTAACCTAAACTTTTTTTTTCTTTATATAGACCTTATTACATCCGAACATTTGCGAATATGTAGAAATTGTTAAAGGCAAACACGGTAATTCAAGCCGATAAAATTTTTTGACAGTAAGTCCATTTAATGACGGGCATTTTATTTGATAATAGATTCTAATTAACCTTTCACAGATCGATTGTTTGTCATATTTGAATATCACATGAATCATCTTGGAAAATTGTACCAGCGTGGTGAAAAAGGCAACGTGTCGGGGTAAAGAATTCATGAATTTCACCTTCTGTTTGAAGGAAGATTTGAATTATTTTTTTTTAATTTATATAATACTTTATTTTTTTTTTATTTTTTATTTATTACAAAAGGTTAGGAACTAGAATGCTGCGTGAATGGGCCTTTCAAATTTTAAAGGCACTTACATATCTAAATCAAAACGGCATAACACATCATAATTTGAACCCTGATAACATTCTATTGGATGCTGAAGTATAATTTTTTACTAGTTTTATTATCTCTCATTTCATAATAATTCTGGCCTAATTCATCGGCTTTCTAGGGTAAAGTTAAATTGGCGGACTATGGTTTATTTTATATGACCAACGGAGGAGCCGACGTAGATTTCCCAATTGGGTAAGTGAATAGAGAGCGTATTTGATTGTATGAGGGACAGATTAATTAAGACTTTTTTGATGTAATGGGCAAAAGTTATCCGCATTATCTTCCACCTGAAGCAATTTATCGCCAAGCTGATATGCCAGAGGTCACCGGAAAGGTACGAAGATAATCAACGTTAAGAGATTTATTTATTTATCTTATCATTTCTAAAATATTATTCATTATAGGTGGATGTGTGGTCGCTTGGTGTAATCTTGGCCGAAATTTTTACAGGGTCAACTTTCTGGAAAGAAAATGATAAAGACATTGAGAAATTATTTTCTTCATTATGGATGCTTCAATCCTTCGTACATGAGGATGGGGAAACTGATGATGATGAAGTTTGGAACAAGGTTCTTACTTATCAATTGGGTATAAATGAACCGATTTTGGAATTTCTAAATGGTTCTGCTGATGATGATATTGCGGATTCGGATTTTCGAAAATTCATTTGTGCATGTTTGAAAGTGAATGTTTCAAATAGGTGTTCTCCAGAACAGTTGTTGTCGCATCCATTCTTTTCTGGACATGGTCTCAGCGACAACTATAAATATTGGTGGAAAAAACCATTTTTACAATCACAGATAATTGATTTTGATGAAGAAGATTTGTTTGTTCCTATAGATGAACAACCCAACAAGGATGTCCTCTACGGAATACCATTATCTCAGATCTATTACTTTTGGAAACTTGCCGGAGGTGATGTGGAATCGGAATTGGCCAAAAGAGGTTATCTTCTAAGTACGCCACCAATCGAACGAATTCCAAGGACTGTAAAAGTACAAGATGGAAAAGAAGAAGGCACAACAAAAGATACCGCTTTTCTATTTTCTGATACCATTTACACTTTATCTTTGAAGGAACTTCGACAAAGGCTTGAGGTAGCTACTGGTCCTAATAGAGAAACATTTGAATGGGATACTGACTATTTTATGCTTGTTGATGAGGATGATATGAACTTTTTGGTCGACGAAATGTCTGACGATGAGAATTCAAGCACAAAGGTTGGTATTCTTGGAAAGTACCTGTTCCCTGATCCAAATAACCATAAGGCGTCATCATCATCGACAAATGGGACCACACCATCAACAAATAACGTCAAATTGCCGTTATTAATACGAGAAAAAGACGTCGGGTATCAGTTTCAGAGGGTTGCCTTATTTAGTGAGCTACTTAGGCAATATCCAGCGTCGAGAGATGAAATTATTCATCATGCAAAAGTTGATATACCACCTTTTTTACGTGGAAAAATTTGGGCTGCAATTTTAGGAGTTTATGGCGATTATCAAGCCTTATACGATTCTTATGATAAGGAGTCAGAGAAGGAAACTACGACGGATCGGCAGGTTTGTCATATGGTTTAATATTATTAAACTTTTTTTTTTAAAATAAAAAATCACTGTATTTATTTTATTAACGATTATTTTGTTTACCTCAGATTGATGTTGGTAATACACTAGTTTGCAACTTTTCATCTAGATTTGGGAATTAATTTTTTATAATTAAATCTAACGGACATTGATTGGATTAAATATTATTGAGGACAGATGTTCCGAGGTGTCATCAATATAATCAGCTACTTTCGTCTCCCATTGGTCATGAAAAGCTTCGAAGGCTTTTGAAATGTTTTATAGTGGCGAACGCGAACAATAAATTAGTTTACTGGCAAGGTAAATGTTACAAAGATTTTAATTACAACAAGGATTAACCTTTCATTTAACACGATAATTTATTTTAAAATTTACAATAGGGTTGGACTCTCTTTGCGCTCCTTTTCTAACACTTAATTTTAATGACGAAGCTCTTGCATTTAGTTGCTTACATACGTTTATTCCAAAATTTCTTCAAGATGTTTTCTTGTTTGATAATTCATCTGTCATTGCAGAGTATCTTGCGGTTTTTAAACATCTTTTGTCATTTCATGATCCAGAACTTTCCAGTCATCTTAACAAAATAGGGTATCAACCTGATCTATACGCAATTCCATGGTTCTTGACATTATTTACTCGTAAGTTGCGTGTTTAACTAGCTTCTCTGTTTTATTTACATAATTTTTTTACGATTATATACAATTTTCAATGAATAGATGTTTTCCCATTGGATAAAACATATCATTTATGGGATAAAATTCTTGTTGGACCACCTTCGCTACCATTATTTACTGGTATCTCTATCCTACAACAGCTTCGTGATTTACTTATAAAGTCCGAATTTAATGATTGTCTTGCTTTTGCCGAATCATTTCCTGACGTTGATATTGAAAAGTGCATCCAATCAGCACTTTCAATGTGTAAAGTAACACCACCTTCAGTGATTTATCGTGTTCATGAACCTTTTGTAACACCTGGTGCATCACATAATGGAATTCAGGATCCTGTAAGTTTCTTGTCATTAATGGATCTCTTTTTTTTTTTCTAAAAAAAAAGATAGATTTATATTCTATTGTTTTATAATTAGGATCATAATCCTCAACGATGGTGGGAAGTACCCATCTCAATTGATACCAAGAAGGAAGAATTAACTCCAAGAATTTCACTTAAGGATTTAGTAAAATTGAAGAATCATGTATTGGTTATCGACACAAGAAGTGAACTAGAGTATGCAAGTATTTATTAGTATATATATGATGTATATGTTATTTATTTATTGTAATTATGCTCTTCTAGATTTTCAAGAGGACATTTCCCATCATCAATAAATATGAATCCGGCACATTTAGAACAACTTGCACTAACACTGAGACAAGAAAATAAGAAATACCATGTAGTTTTGGCTAAGAGAGGGGATTCAGGACCACAGGTTAGTGATAATTATTATTAAGTTTATATATATATATATATATTTTTTTATTTTTTTTTAAAAAAAATAATTCAATGAATAATCGATAATAATTTCCTTAAAAATTATAGTTTGCTGCAAATCTTGTATATGCCAATTTTTCACGAGTTGCAGTATTAACAGGTGGCATCGATGTTATGCGTGTTGATACCGAAGAAAGTGTACCAGTATGTACATGTCGACCTAAAAGCTGTTCCATTGGATCAAAGAATGGAGGTGCTATTTATTGGAAGTGTCCAATTCCTCTTCAGCTTTACGAAAGATCTTTGTACGCAAAATCTAATGAAACAGACTCAATGATTTTATAATTTAAAAACAAAGAAAATCTTTTTTTTAAGTTAAATAGGGAGCTTTTTGAACATTAATTTATATAATAAATAGAGTAGGGTAGGCTTTATATTTAAACGTTACAATTTTGTAATTTACAAAAACGTAAGTAGATATGTTTATATAGATATCGGCAAGAGAATATGTTTAAATCTGGGTAAATACGAGTTTGATACAATTCAATAAGGGAAGGTTATTCTGTATGTAAGTAAATTAGATACTCTTGTATTCATAGGATGAAGTGAACCGATTTAATTATCCTACCCTAAGCGTTTGTTTAGTTGACAATCATTTTATATTTGATATTAGAATAAAGGTGATAAATTTAAATATTTGTATTCCATAAAAGAATTTATAAATACTTTTATGAATGTATTTCTTTGAATATTGTGATGTTATAATTTAAATTCAATTATAATAAATAAAGAACCTATTAAAGACGCGTTATAAAATTCTTTATTAAAGGTTAAGTAACTTCATCCGGTTTCGGCTTGAAAAGAAAAAACCGAACCGATAGAAAAAACCGATAATTAAGAAATATAAATATCACTAGTGATTTAGTAATACGGAAGTATTAACCGCAGTTACAAGAATTGTCGCTGATTTACAGATTTACATTGTGTCGATATCATGGATATCATAGGGAGAAATTACGTTATCATAAAAATTGATCAAACGGAAATTCATCATTTTGGAATATCCAAAATTGGAGCAATCTAACCTTAATCGTGAAATCAAACGAAATTTAAAGAATATGCTAATCATTTTCGGCGTACTTGATATTCTCCGAGAAAATCGTGATCTTCAGCACG